GACCGATCTATTAAGATAGAATTAGTAATTAATGAGTCAATATAGCCACTCCGTACTGATGTGGTAAACATCGTTACAGCACGGACCATGTTAAAATAATTCCCCCGGGTTCGACTCCTGAACATTTACTGTAAACATTATAGGTTCATTTTTAGCGCATTGCTAGTGCACCGTTTGCGCATCGTCTGTGAATCGTTGATCATTCGCATCGATCGTTTGAGTGTATCGCATCGTTTCCTTTGCTGAGCTGATTGAGTCGTATTTAAATTCGATCGTATGGTCAGTCAAAATACCGAAAGACTGGAGAACAACCACCACAAATCAGAATATTGCCAATACCAGTCAGTCGGTGAAGGTACAGGAAACGCAATGATAACAGAATGATTGACATTCAGTTGATGTGTATCGTATACTAGTTTAGAAGAAATAATGTTATATGCGCAATTACATAACATCTTTAATATTTTCTGGACAATAATCATAAACAAAATACATAGAAAGGAATTTTCGAATATTCTTACAACCAAATGTTTTTCGATGTCTTTACGTTGTCACAATTATCTGTATACCGATTTATTGTGGAATAAACTATCGATATCGGTCTGACAGCAGAGAACAATAGAAAAAAACTCGAGGAAGAGCTAGACTTGGTCAATGACTGTTGTACCTATATACTACAAGTCATTGAATAAACAGAACCCCATCAATAGGAACTGATCGTGTGTATAACCAAAAACTGACTGGCATTGACAATATTCGTTTTCGGCATTTTTGACAGCAGAATGAATAATATAGAAATACACCCCACGCAATGCTCCTCCGTCAGTCGACTACAGTCAATAGACACTGCTCACCACTCGATCAACAGCGATCACCGCTTGACACAAAGACTTTAAATACTAACCCGACTATTGTGTTACACGGGAGTTTTAAGTGCTGTTAAAGTTTGCGTTTAAATCATAATCGGTAATTTGAAAAGAACATACACTATTTTTCAGTGGTAATGGGATTAATACTCAATGGGTTTTAGGATCACCTTCAATATACAAGCCACCTTCCAACACGAAACTAAAGCCCATTTACCTCACGGCCTGTGTTGATTTTGGCTGAATAGTTTAAAATGATGTTTATTGAACATAAAATAATGTGCTTTAATAGCCGTTTATACTGAAAATAATTGCCCTGTTCTCAAGTTACGAAGCGTAGTTGAGAACAAGTTTGATTGGTCCCTGTTACCCTTTATATATGGTGTTCATCAACGTTATTGAAAAAAAACTAATTCGTATGTTAACATAACCCAGGGCGACAGTCATATACACCGTAGATTTTCCAGATAAAACCAGCAGTAAATTCCGACTTACAGATGACATACATATGTACAATGCTGGCGTTACACGAGAAACTATTAACGATACACACTAGTATATTGTATTAACGATACACGAGGTATTATTAATGATACACGAGGTGATATTAACGATACACGTGAGTATTGACGATACACGAGGTGATATACACGATACACAGTAGTACATTGTATTAACGATAGACCAGGTGATATTAACGATACACGTGAGTATTGACGATACACTAGGTGATAATAACGATACATGTTAGTATTGACGATACACGAGGGATTATTAACGATACATGATAGCATTGACGATACACGAGGCACTATTAACAATATTCATCAGTATTGACGATACACGAGGTACACATACCTATATACTTTAGTGCTGACGATACACGAGGTGCTCTGAACGATACACAGTAGTATATAAATGGCGATACTTGAAGTACAAATACCTACATACTTTAGTATTGACGATACACCAAGTGTTATTAACGATATACTTTAGTATTGACGATACACAAGGTGCTATTAACGATACACAGTAGTAATGACGATACGCGAGACACAAATACCCATATACTTTATTATTGACGATACACGAGGTGCTATTACCGATACACAGTAATATTGACGATACACGAGGTACAAATACCTATATACTTTAGTATTGACGATACACGAGGTGCTGTAAACGATACACAATAGTATTGACGATACACGAGTTACAAATACCTATATACTTTAGTATTGACGATACACAAGGTGCTATTAACGATACACAGTAGTATTGACGATACACGAGTTACAAATACTTATATACTTTAGTATTGACGATACACAAGGTGCTATTAACGATACACAGTAGTAATGACGATACGCGAGACACAAATACACATGTATTTTATTATTGACGATACACGAGGTGCTATTACCGATACACAGTAATATTGACGATACAGGAGGTACAAATACCTATATACTTTAGTATTGACGATACACGAGGTGCTTTAACGATACACAGTAGTATTGACGATACACGAGTTACAAATACTTATATACTTCAGTATTGACGATACACAAGGTGCTATTAACGATTCACAGTAGTATTGACGATACACGAGTTACAAATACCTATATTCTTTAGTATTGACGATACACGAGTTGATATTAACGATACACAGTAGGATAATGACGATATATGAGGTGCTGTTAACGATACACAGTAATATTGACGATACACGAGGTGCTGTTAACTATATACACAGTAGTATTGACGATACACGGGGTATTATTAACGATATACAGAAGTATTGACGATACACGAGGTGCTGTTAACGATACATACATGTAGTAGTATTGACGATACACGAGGTGCTAAAAACAATATACAGAAGTTTTGACGATACACGAGATGCTGTTAACGATACATAGTAGTATTGACGATACCCGAGGTACTTAAAACGATACACAGTAGTATATAAATGACGATACTTGAGGTACAGGGCCCACTTGTATAAAACATCTCAAAGTTAAGGAAAATCTCAAGCAATGTATTGTCTATGCGAAATCTTAGACTTTAGGAAATCTCAAGAGTTGAGATGTTTTATACAAGTGGGCCCAGATACCTATATACTTCAGTGTTGACGGTACACGAGGTACAGATACCTATATACTTTAATATTGACGATACACGTGGTGCTGTTAACGATACACATTAGTATTTACAATACACGATGTCCAGATACCGATATACAGTAGTATTGACGATGCACGAGGTATTATAACTCATACCGATACACAGTAGTATTGACGATACACGAGGTATTATTACTCATACCGATATACAGTAGTATTGACGATACACGAGGTATTAATACTCATTCCGATACACAGTAGTATTGACGATGCACGAGTTATTATAACTCATACCGATATACAATAGTATTGACGATACACGAGGTATTATTACTCATACCGATATACAGTAGTATTGACGATGCACGAGGTATTATAACTCATACCGATATACAGTAGTATTGACGATGAACGAGGTATTATAACTCATACCGATATACAGTAGTATTGACGATTCACGAGGTATTATTACTCATACCGATACACAGTAGTATTGACGATACACGAGGTATTAATACTCATACCGATACACAGTAGTATTGACGATACACGAGGTATTATAACTCATACCGATATACAGTAGTATTGACGATGCACGAGGTATTATAACTCATACCGATATACAGTAATTTTGACGATACACGAGGTATTATTAACGATACGCGATATAGCAAGTCAATACCAAAAGAATGTCGCAGTAGTATTAGTACTAGTAGTACTAGTATTTAATGCCGCAATTTTCCGTGTCAAAGATGTAGAGATATGTAGATATTTTGATTTTAAAAAGAGATATTTTTTAAAGTTTCAAAGAAATCTCTTATTCAAAATATCTCATATAAGTTTTGAAAGAGATTTCTTAAAATGAATAAATAATATCTTTAAATATATTAGAGATAATCTATAAAGGATTAAAGGACATATTTATGTGTAACGAGATATCTTTGCATGGATTAACGATAGCTCTCATTCATTTAAAGATATCCTTAAATGTTATAGAGAAAGCACATATAATTACAATTATAAAGGATATCTGTATTGTTAATAATATCTCTTAAATTAATATAAATATCTCTTATCATTTTATGAGATATCTCCTTAATTACTGGATAAATCTTTTATACATTAAAAGTTAAGTAACCTTGCCACAATACATAGTAAAGACTACGTATATTATATACATATTAGAAATCTTAGCTCACCGCATCCATCCGACAATTGACTGAGCGAAAGGACTGAAACATAACAATATATATTAGGATATATAATTATGTGAACGTCGAAAATCTTCTTTTATTTTTTAATCGATAAATACATACTACATCTTCTATTTAGGTATCCCCGTATGTTCTGCCTTTACTAGTATTGTCATAACTTCAACCCCAATGTTTACATACGGGTATCCTGTTGTTACCCCGATATTTACATACGGGGACCTTACATACCAATTTACTGTTTCTCCTGTCGTTACCCCGATATTTACATACGGGGACCTTGCAGACGGATATCTCCTTCAGACTACTCTGGAACTAGACACACGAGGGTTAATACACTCGGTCAACATTGACTCGTCATTAATGCTGTAATGTACACACGGTAGATAAAATGGTCAAACAGATGGAAACGAGAAGGTCAACAACGGCGGTAGTATTTAAACACGCATAACATGGAATACACATTTGTCAGATAAAAAAGTAAATAACAGGGAATCGTCTAGGAGCAAAAAAACCTGAGTGGTCTAATATCTTGGTTATGTTGATCGACTATCGGAATCTTTGTATGTACATATCCAATTTGTATGGCTAGCAACGCAAATCAAATTAAATATTGATTCTGTATCAATTACTTTTGTTCCGTGATTTCCAAATATTTCATTTCCTCATTGATAGGTTTGTATCTGTGTATATATAAATATCTGCTGTTCGAATTTTATTTCGACATTTTGAACTTGACACAACGTCAAATCGCTACTAGTGGGTAAAGGGAGACAACTGTAACAAGACACGATTGGAGAAACTATGTGGAGCTTTATTTCCAAATGTGTTGATTTGTAGAAGTCTTGTTAACGCCTTGGGTTTGCATTTTCTAACTGTAAAGAACTGTCCATATATGTAGATAGCCAATTAGATTTTCCCTGGAAGCGCAACACATGACAGCCATCTCGCCGGATACGGAAGTTCCTGCACGCCATTGATCCAGACGTCATTGATGGCGTCATAACACTCGATAGACTGTAGGATCCGTCCTGCCACCGTGGACACGCCTCCAATGATAAAGATCTTTCCACCTGAAGTAAATAAATAAATAGATTTTAACCAAAGACTGATATATAGATATAGATGAAGTAAAGCTACAATGTTGGAGCTAAAAAATATACATTATTACTGTGGAACAAAATGTCAATAATGTGTTAAAAGTTAATCATATCTTATACTAGAATGTAATTAAAATACGCACCGATGACGGTACTTCCGGTAAAGTGTCGGGCTAGCACCATATCCGTTCTGTGCTCCCAGACGTCGCTTCTCTTGTTGTACACGTCAATGGCGGCTACGCTGGTCAGAACGGAGTCGTTTGTTGTGAAGGATCTAATGGCGCCCCCGCAAAGGAACAACTCCCCATTCACCGACACAAGGTTCCCATGACAACGGGGCATGCGTAGGTTATTCTTCGTAGTCCACCTAAAAAATTGCATTCTCATATAGTGTGACATAAATGCAACAACCAATTGAAACCATATCCGACTCGCAACAATATTCTACCTTTAGTCCGAATACATGAAGTAAAAATTTGGAAATTACTCTTATAAGATTGCACATATCCCTTTTTAAAAAAAATGTACAAAGACATAGTTCAGAAGGATATTGTCACATGTGCAGCCAATCATTTTGTCTTGGTACTTCCGCCATCTATCGCACAATTAACATTGATAAGGAGCTAAAAACAACTTACGTATTTTCACGCGGATCGAACACTTCCACACTACTTAAGACCGGCAGTCCAGATTTGCTGTCAACCGATTCGCCATAACCACCAACAACGAAAATAGTGCCATCCTGGATAGCTGCTGCCATCCCTAGTCTCGCGACACTCATCGGCTTGACGAAGATCCAGCGGTCAGTCTTTGGGTTGTAGCACTCCACGGAATTAAGAACCCTGTCGAATAAAAAACAATTTCATCGTAATTACCCTATTTCTTTGAATATACTGAAATTAGTATTTCAACTATTGTGATTTGTATTGGCATATGAGGTAAAATAATTTTAACATACTGTTCGTGTATCCTCCCCCCTCAATATAATCGTTGCCATAAAATGTTATAACAATGCAATACAAGGAATGTGTATTACAATTCGTCGTGGATACATTAACATTGACTTTGTATATATGCATATATCATTAATTTACCGTGAATTTCCATCTTGTCCACCAATGGCGTACAACATCCCATAGAGTGAACAAACCACGTGATGCATCCTCGCCGTGACCATGGACGCTATCTGTCTCCACTCGTCCGTCTCCAGGTTGTAAACGAACGCATCGCTGGACGGAATGGAAATCTTCTTGGACTTGTTTGGGTCCGAACCACCTATTGCGGAAAACATTGAGTATTTCGTGTCAAGGTTAGGTACAAAGAACACATGGGGAGTTTTGATATGCAGACATGAAGTAAAATCTTTCCGAGTCAATTGGCTCATAAAACTGGAATAGGGACACGTTTATATAACCTGTAAGAGAAAGCAATCTGTTAAAAATACTGTTCATCAATGCAGAAAACCTGCCACCCAATTAACAATGTTACATATAAATGCTAAGAATTCGAACCCATTACCTCTGAACTTTAGACGGACGCATTTAGTCAGGTCTCCGGCGATCGCCAAACTCTGTCTGATTTTTTAAACGAAATGCTTTTCTCATAATGAAAACATATTTGAAGGGAAAACGTCTTACCGATTATGTACATCTTCTTGTTAACGATGGCGGTGCCGTGATGAAAGCGAGGCTGGGGAAGGTTGGTGTAGTGTGTCCATTGGTTCTTTACGGAGTTGTATCTCTCCACAGTCTTCACTGCAAGGTAATATTTTGTCTTTGCTATTATACCAAATACTTTTCAATGTTAATTCGCAAGACAGTACATTGCCCCAAGTCACTTAAACTGTGACGTCATAAAATAGCGTTACAAGCCAACAGAAAACGACGTCATTCCGACTGTTGATTGTTGATAACGCTGGCTATAGTTTAAATGATAAATACACATTCGGAACTCATTCTCGTCACCATTTCTATGAAAAAATATTTAAATGACCGATAATCACACGAGGCATGCATGGTTATGAAATTGTATATAGCACATTTTTAAAGACAAATGAAATAACGGACAATTTAACTGTCGATGTACAAATCTGCATTTATATCATCATGGTAACCGTTTCCATGGTCCATCAATATCAGTCTTGGATGGCTCACCTGTCCTATTGTCCCTGGCCTTGGTGAACTTCTGGTATGCTCCTAGGGCAATGATGTCCCCCGTCTTAGACAAGTACGTGGTATCCATGGCAACACCTCCTTTTAGGTTAGGTTCCAACTCCAGCTTTACGCTCCTCATAGAATGGGAACTCTGCATGACCAGACATAAACAATTACCAACTACGGACTTTTGTTTAGGTGAGGTAAATATGAAGTTGTATGATCCCGAGAAAAAAGATATTAACCGAGACGAATGGGAGGATCATTATCACTTTTGAGTTACATATAACAACATACCAAAAACAGGTCCTTAATAGTTATATTAAATATGAAATGATGCTCTATTTCATCATCATACAAGATAAGACTTATAGAAATACCCGCGGGGAAAGTATTGCATTTGGCAAGAAAGCACTCTGGCGTTACAATTGAAGAGACGTCATCAAGAGAATAGTGACTTCATTTTTGCCTAAAACTAGTATCATCTAATCAATATCGCATTTCACAGACCTCCACGTGAAAAGGATCAATCAAATGAGGATGTAGGAGAAAAAAGTTACCATCTTAAATACAGATACAGATGGGTGGATATGTGGTTATATGAACCCGGGAGAGAGAATTCAACCGAGACATTGTCGAGGTCAATATCACTTTTCAGGTTCATATAACCAATACAAGTTCTACCTGGTACATTAGATATGAAATGCTGCCGTCTTTTGTCAGCAAGAAGGTGGAACGTATAAAAAGCGTCAGGAGAAATGCACATAATAGTACAGAGAGCACGGTGACGTTACAATCGAAGTGACAGTGTAAAGAGAATGTTAATCTGCTGTTTATAATATCGCATTTCACCGACCTCCACGTGATTATGATTCAACCAATGAGGCGTAAGAAAAGACGGTGTCATCTAATGTAAAGGTATATTATAGACAACTACAATATAATACATTACATGGAACTTTTAAATAAGCATAAACGTCGGTTACAATTGTGGACTGTGAGTGATTTCAACTAAACCTTGAAATTTCCTATAATTAGTATTTATCAGCTATGGACCTCGGTTGAGGTGAATACATGTATGTGGTTACATGAAAAATGTGTGTCATCCACTATACATTGATTATTTATCTCTCTAATATAAACCTTCATCAAACAAATAAAACACAAAGATGTTGAATAAAAAAAATACTTCGATTCATACAGACATACATAAAGACTGTTTTAATCAAAACGTTGCATTGGCGGAGTTCATAATGTTTGTTCCGGATACTGATAGAGCAATTTAAAAGTCTCTTTCGAAGGGAAAGAATGAAAATAATTAAATGTACACGTAAATTATTCGTTTGAATCTGAAGGCTGCAAAAAACTTCAGAATGTTGCCACTGTGTACAGGAACAACAGTTAAATGTATATGTTGTATATAAGATATAGCAAACACTTAAATGTGTAGGGAGTAACAACACTCTCAAAGAGCCCTTTTCTTACGTTAGGGAATATATAACAATTATTTTACATTTTGTTTGAACAAATTAAATTATTCGTCACGGAAGTGTCATTCTCTGATGTGAAAAGTATATGCACCCTTAAAATCTTAAGTACATGGATCTATATTACCAAAGGCTGAGAGGGTCGCTGTCAACATTGATAAGTGTTTGTGTGTAAACATCATTGATGAGTCCTGACGTGTAAACAACCACACGATATATAGATGTGCGACTTCTCGTTGGTTAAGTCAAGTTCAAAGACACTATTAGATACACGCTCCTGACAAAGTCGACATTCTCTGTAACCATGCAAAAATAACAATGGACACTTTATATGACCACACACGTTTCGTCTTCTTATAAAATTCACGCCATTTTTTCTAAAGTTGACATCTCTTTTGGCACACAAACACACCCAAGTCTTTCAATGATACTATATTCGCTGTTAACTTTAATGATCAACTTACTTGTCGATACGTTAGTGAGAACTTTTGAAAATACCACTAATTGTAGATATTGAGGGTCTCCTTCGATTGCATGGCGGTTGGTTATCATGTTTATCCAACTACGGTTTATAAAGTTACACGAACATGACTCTGAGCCATCACGAGTTATGGGGCCTTTTCTCCCATTACGTTCAAATTTCATCTTGAAAACGATTTGTTTCTCTTAGATGTTTTGTTTCGATCGGAATCATGACGTCACAATGAGAGACGCCGACTTTCACCATTGCTACGTGACGTCATAATTGAAAGACTGTCATACGCAATATAACACCCAGCTGTTACCCATATATTGGTGGCATTACATGATTACCACTATATTCTTGTTGGCGGTACTTCAGGAGTGGGAAAACTTACAGTTGATACCAGTCGGAAACATTTGGAAGAAAATGTATTCTCGTTTACGGAATGTGCCGACTGTTCCCGAGTGATTGCTAACGTGAGAAAATGAAGTTTAATATGATTTCGTACTCACCAAGTATACACTGCTGGCTTTCCTTGTCTTCGGGTTTTTGGGATCTGACAGTGTCGCTCTAGGGTGGACCACGGGGATGTTGAGAGGGTCATCACGGCGCAACGCCATTGCTGTCACCAACCTAAACAACAACAGCTAAATATGGTCAGGTCAAAATTTACTATCGGCACTCGGTTCATATGTTAACTTTAGACAGATCAAGTGTCTATATAGACATCACTTGTTATTTGTTAAGATTTTGAAGAAAAGTCTGTCTTTGGTATACTCATGGAACATAGTTTTAACAAGATGTTTCATACGAATGAAATTATAAGTATTGTTCAATGTTAAACGAGTCACGAGAAGCTTTTCCAGTTGGAATACATATTTGAATACTGATGCCAACTGTTCAATGATTATTCAAATTGAAAGTAGATTTTATTGTTACGATACAAAAGAGCATTTTATGTGGTTTAATGACAATGAAATAAATAAGGGTTCAAACTTAAGCAAATATGATGCAGGCAAGTGTACATACCAATTTGCATGCAGAATAGCGTTTCGTGTTTCGTGGCACTCCCGAAGAAGATCCGTGACCTCAAAGCACTGGAACAGTTCCTGGTGATTCATATATGGAAATCGCACACAAGACATGACCTTGGACAGGTGTTTGTGGCGCTCATTCATGTCGTGTGCTATCCATTTCAGGGCCACTCGGAACACCTCTATCTCGGACGTAATGTTCAGGTCGTCACGTGATAAGATCATACACAACGTGTTTACGTCGAGATTGAAAAAGGATCTGTGGTCCAGCACATCTTGGAACTGTGTACTCACGTGGGAAACACACACGTCATACAGGTCACTGCACGTGACCACTCGACCACTCTGAAGGACTGAGAGTGATTTCTCCAAGGGCATACCCACCATAAACTCAGCACACTTATCCTCAAGTAATGGAACCTTAAGGTGCTGCGCGATCACAAGAAGGTCAGCGACTAGCAATGGACAGATTTCTAAATCCCCGGTGTATATCCATTCTAGGAAAACATTGAATGACCTTGACGTGACCCCGCGAAGCCGGATGACCAACGGCACCTTCTGTTTCTCTGCTCCTTTGAAGAAGACTTGTGAGAAATATTCACTGAAACATGCCAGTGCCACGCGATGAGCCATAAACTTTGACGTTTCAACATGGATTTCCACGTCACATATCTGCTGATTTTCTTGGAGGAACTTCATATACTCACCCATATTTGAGAAATGTGTGAGTTTATCAACCGGAAGACTCTGAAGACGAGAGATGACATTTGCCAGGCACGGAGTCATCTGCTTTTCGTTTGTGTTTGCCGTTTTTAACATTTGATCTAAGTCTGCTTGATGGTTGACAGGGGAGAGAGTATTTAGCTCGTCAAGGACCATAACGAGACCTTTTCGGAACTTTTGTGTTCCCGTCTTTTGCACTTCCGGTGTTACTTTCGAAACCGTAAGATTGTCCTCAACCGGGCAAACACCTAGTATTGGACATAAAAGGTTATGTTACAGAGCCTGTTTTGAGATGTATACTTATGTGATACTGTACAACTTCAACTAGTCAAAGATAATCGGTAAGCGAGAGCTCTAGGACGCTAGTTAAAACTTGATAAAGTTATTGGGTCTAATAGGAATCAGGAGATTCGATAGAAGGGGTATATTGCGGTATGCTATTCTTAGTCGCTACACTGTGTTTTGCAGAATGGTATTACTGTACTAACTGTAGTATCAACCAATCCAAACTAATCAAATTGTCTACTGGACTGAACATTTCCTGGTTCACCGAGAATAGATAGAAGCTTTATATTTTACATGAAACATAATAATAATAATAAAATAATAAATAATAACCAACATTTGATATAGCGACCTATCTAGCTAGAATAAGTCACTCTAAAGCGATTTACAATTCATAAATATATAATTAATACAATAAGCATATAAACATTAATCAATACAATATTGAGGAATTTGCAGGAGCTGCCTTATCAGGCGCTAACTACTAGTCATATGCCACATGGCTAATATCTCCCTATGTGTGTATGCCTGCGTGTGTACTGGAGATGTAATGTGTTCTGATTGTAGTGGGACCGTGCTTCCAACGGCATCATTTATAGTGCTACCTCACTTAAACCCCATACCAATGTATACTCCACCTAAGTAGTTGGAGTTGTGTGGGCAGGAGAAAAACACATTTAGTTTAAACATGTTTTATTGCCAAGCAAATGGATTGGGTACAAGTTATCAAACTTATATTAAGCCCTTTCCTAGCAAATTACAAGCATATATTTACAATAGTACAACAAGATGGCAGAATTAATATACATATATACACTATTTCATTTTTAAATGTTTTAATTTATAAATTGAAATTATAAGAGAGATACAGAGAGAGAAAAGGGGGGAGGGGGAAGGGAGAGGGGGGAGAGGGGGGATAATAGTCTGTAATTATAATACATACATCCTCATCATTATTAATGCATGACATATAACATCTGCCTCTTAGAGAGAGTGGATATTATGGTTCAATTGAGAGAGAGAGGGAGAGAGAGGGGACAAGGGGGGCGGGGTACTAGAATCTGTTAGAGTCACGAATGTATTGCTGAGTATGCATGAATATCGTTATGTTTTCCTGTTCCGAAAGAGATGTATCTCCAAGTAAAAGTAGATTTAAATTAAGATTAAATGTTTTTCTTACAGTTCACGATAAAGCTTAATTCTTTGTTCGTTATATTTATCACAGGTAAAAAAGAAATGGTGTGTGTCTTCAATAGGGAAGCCACATATACAACGTTGGAAATCAATAAGGTTAACACAAAACAGGTCACTTTTCAAAGTACTAGAACGGTTTCTTAATTTTGTATGCAAAATATTATTTTTCCTATCACCATAGAAGAAGGGGTTTGGTACAAGCGGCCAGTTTACGTCTTGAATGGCGTTTCTAAATGATGAGAACGTGGCACTACGTCGTATACTAGTAGGTAACTGGTTCCACAGTCTAACAGTAGAAGGAAAAAAGGATACGTTAGATAATTCAAGTCTGTTGTTAGGTAGGTTGTAGTTTTCAACGTTTCGAAGATTATAGTGAGAGTTATCGACAAGGGAAGGAATAGAGTGTTGAGATAGTTACATGTAGGAGCTATATTATTGTGGATTTTAAAAAAATTATTGAAGTTTTCGACGGGATCTCCGATGGGCTAGAGAATCCCATCCAGTTTCATTGTATATAGATTGTCTACTGGTAAACGACGGTAATTAGAACAACACATGCTCCGAAGATGGAACTCCGGCAGCCTGCGTGAAAGGCTGGAGTGTTTACCACACGACCAATCCACCCATAATGTTTTAAGCTTGTGCTCATTGAATAATGTACCATGCGTTTGTGCACTGTCTGCTACAACTTGCCTGATTAGTAATAAAAACGAATGTTTTTCCAATTCTAACATATGTCTTCTTGCTGATTTGGGAATCGTTAAATTGAGAAAATAAATCCCTAATGAAGAATTCACTATACTTGTACATGTATTTTCAGCTAATAGTAAAAAAAAGTTATTTCAATGTGCAAGGTAGTATTATTTTCTTGGCAATTCAGGAAGGATGGGTGAATAAGTTAATGAAATATTTATCTGCCTCGAGGGTATGACGGTGAAATCACACCCTCGGCGTTGACAGAAATCTTCAACAGATAAAATGGAAGACAATTTAGCGAATGATGGGAAACATATTTGTCCTTTAATTATATCACTGACCTTCAACGGCGACATCTGGGGTTCGATTCCCCTAACGAAATTTTGGTTTTCAGTTTTACTGATGAACCAAAAGGTTTCTACTGAACTGAGAAAATGTCTCCTGCCCAACACTAACTTAATTGGTCTTGAAGCATGTTTCTGGATAGGATGAAATACGAATAGCTAGATACCTCCTCGATACTCCAGAGGTACGCTCTCTGCAGAGAGCGAAAGTGTGCGTAATCCATGAATATCGAGGATAAGCCTAGATACGACCGCCAAGGAAGACAATAACATATTTCATAAATTATTATCATGAACACACAAACAAACCGAGACAGTACCAGAAGAATGGAAAACAACTAACCTTTGATCGGGGTGGATGTTCTGGGCGAGCTCTTATAGTCATCAGAGCAGAGCGATTCATCAAAGATGAGGCTCCGATAGTTGTCCGAAACTCCAGAATCTACAGTGATGCATCGACATTTCTCCAACCCTGACCTGGCGTCGCATCCTGACCGGTTACATACCAGTTCCGGTTGTCCTTTGCTTGCGAGCATGGGACTCTCTGCGTACCGCTTTGCCTTTGTACCCTTCTGACTACATGACTGTGGCTCAATGCTCTCGGACAATTCATTAAACTCGGCTGTGAGTGAACGTTCTAGCTCACTATTTGTTACGTCCAGCGGGACATAACCAGCGGTTGAACCTCCAGATTCAATTGCTTTGTGCGAGTTCTCCCATTCTTCTTGCGGATTGAGACCGTGGGTCGAACTCAAACAGGTGAGACTATCCTTCGTGTAATAAGATGAGAAGTTAAAACGCGGCATTGTTGTTTACCGTTCTCGTCAGTCCATGTAAAAATACAGCGCGGGTCTATCTGACACGCGGTTGCGAAGCAAAAATAGGATGCGTCACAATTGATGACGTCACAATGACCGTATCCTATATTGTAAATGCGCGCGCAGGAACTGTAACTGTGCTTTCCGTTATTGGGGCCGTACCGCTTATACCGGTTCGGATTTGTTGAACTACTTATGGAACGCACTGTACCAGAATTCCCGGTGAAATGTTAACACTCAATGAAGTAAAAATATGTACACAGTTTTATTGTCTGACTAATACGACTGATCTATTAAACAATAAATATTCCTAAATTGAATGTGACCGATGTCACGTTTTTACCAAATTCACAGCAAGCAGTCCAGCATAGATGTTAGTTATTATCAGACATGTTATTTATGATAATATGATTCGAGAAATTGAAGCATGAAATATTCTCTTTCTCCCAGAATATTTTCTTTTCGCGAGATAAGCGTTTTTTCTTGAAGAAATAATTAAAGGGGCCGCGGTGGCCAAGTGGTTTAGGCGTCTTGCATTCTGCTACCACAAGCCCTTCACCACTTGGTCTCGGGTTCGAGACCTACGTGGAGTAGTCGCCAGGTACAGGCCGTATGTTGGTGGTTTTTCTCCTGGAACTCCGGCTTTCATCCACCACAAAACCTGGCACTTCCTTGAATGACAATAGCTGTTAATAGTAGGTAAAACAAAAACAAACCAAATTAAGAAATAATTTGACAACGAATCATTCACTGTGATGGTAAAATGGAACCCTGTTAATCCGGATTTAACAGTACAGTTGAACATCAGCTATATATAATCTTAACTGAATAGTACTATAGAACCTCCTAATCCGGATTTTACAAGTCAATAGAACCTCACTAGTCTGTATTACAGCACCGTGGAACTCCGCTAAACCGTACTTAATACAGTTCGTATAGTAATTAAAACAGCGCAAATCCGGACTTTTCAGTACATTGGAACCGACGCGACCACGCATATCCGGACTGAACACCGCTACATGTTACATTATTCTGGACTTAACAATGAAATCCTGTTAATCCAGATTTCATAATATAGTGGAACCTTGCTCATATGTACTGCATTGGTCCTGACAACTTCCTGGACGCTTGTGGTCATAAGTTTGATTATTTTAGTTAATTTATGTGCCAACATTATTATCACGCATTGGACTACAGAACCAAATGTATTTGGGATGTGTGCGCCCTTTCGTTAGACGGCGCATTGGTTCATGTCCATTTATAGTCATGATTTTACCTAGCTGTTGTCATGCCCCTAGGGTAAAGGGACAATTTTAGTGAATTAGTTTTGGTATAACCTTGTAACAAAATTCTTTATGATAAAATAGTTTGATACTCCTGACCAGAGACAATGTTTTCCTGGCGTTCTTAATCAGTAATGAAGGAATCCCTAGCTGTAAAACAATACTTTTAGCGCCATCTAAATCTGTTGGTGAACTTTTAAGGAAATAGGATTGTGTCACCATTTCTCAGTAGAATTTCTTCAAATTTTGTAGTTATATTGCTTTGAAGTAAAGAAAATTGTCTGCCACAAATAAATATAGGTTGTCAGAATTTTAAGGAATTTAAATGGAAATTTATGTAAAAAGGAGTGAATTTTGAAAAAATAAAATCGAAAGACACATTTTTTTGCAAAAACACGTCAATAAAAATAATACTGCCATAGATAAGTATTGCATTAATGTATATCAATTTAATAAATGCTGAAATTGTGTAAAACAAACTATCAATAAACGATTAAAAATTGGAATTTTATAATAAATCCATATACACATAGTAGTTATCTGTCTTGAAAAACTTCACAGTAGTGAAATAGGTAGCCGGTTTCCAGAAGAACAGAGATAAAAAGAAACCGGATTAATGCCTGGATTGCTTTGAAATACTTTTAATATTGTTCTGTCAATAATAAACTTACAATATTCATCAGTTTAATATTAAACATTAGAATATGCTGAAATTGTGATACTGTCTCCCTACATTGGATTTTCAACTAGGGATGTTATTCCTATTTCCGTTTATCAATACACTCCTATGACCTTAACTAACACATATGGCTTTCCAGTGGAGGAGGGAAAGTTAACTCTCGCTTTATTCACCTAACTTCTTTAGAATAGAAGTACCGGTGTGTATTCTGAACCAATTACGTTCTTGCAAACAACACCACAATCATCGTTACACATGATTAATTTAATTCATGTTTGAATTTACATATATCGTACTTTGTGCGATTTGAAATTCTCCTTAGGGTACCTCTTGCGTGTATACTCTATTTAAATCTGTTTCTTTTTGTTGAAATCGAACTGTGATCCGAAGTATTCAAATATATTTATATGGCTCTTTCAATACCTGTAACAAGAAGGTGTGCAAACTGTGTCCATACACGCGCTCCACTGATACATTTCAATGTACAATCAACGGCAAAGTGTATCACATACTACAAACGCTGACATGCACATCAGTCAATGTGGTGTACCTTATTACCTGAAATAAATGCAATTTACAGTACGTGGGCGAGACCTGCACCCAGCTCAATGTCAGGATCAACAACCACCGCTGCTCCATCAAGCAGAACAAACCAGACTTCCCTGTGGGAAGGCATTTTAATATGTCTAGCCATAGTTGGAAATACATGCAGGTTGTTGCCTTAGATCATTGCCCTACATGGGATGAAACGAGACGACTTACGAGAGAACGGTTTTGGATCACCAATCTACAAACCCGCTACCCTCGAGGTATGAACGAACGATAGGCGGTTGCCATCCGCTCGTTTTCCTTCAAGGGGGCATTTGACCTAATGATTCATTACTGCACAATTGGTCAGCTATCTCGCCTGCCTGCTGCTTCATGTCAGTGTGTGTGACCAACAGCCATTGTCAGATTTATTTTGCAGATTTATACAGCATCTTAGCCATTTCATCTACTTTTCCTCCTGCACTCACTTATTTGATAATTACATGCATAATTCCTGCTAACCAATAGAGGCACATGCATTATTCCTGCAAACCAAAAGAGGCGACTAAGTGTGGACCCCCTGCTGTGACTTAGATCCATCGCAGTATTGAGAGGCGACTAATGAGACATTCCGTAGCAGATTGGAGATTTTTCACATTTACCGGGCCAGATTCCAAATGCACATGTTCCACGTTTTTGATATCTCTCGTTGGCTCACTTTATATGACAGTGCATCTTGCGCAAGAATAGGTCCTCTACATCAGCGTTCCTTGTCCGCGATGCTCTCAGCTTAATTGCTGCCTTCGACTGTCTGTAGCCGAGGGGACTATTGGTTTTATATAATAGCTATATTTTCAATTATAGTATATCAATTATATCTTCTTGTAATATGAATTATATGTACATGTAACTGTTCTGTTTCACTGTGTCTTGAAAAAGGAGCGGAACGCTCCGAAAATTTGACAACCTAAACTTGTCCACACTGTTTGAATTACTTCTTTGCCCCATATATAGTGAGATGCATATAATTCTATTAATATGACCTTAATGTTACCATGTGACCATAAATGTTGTCATGTGACCATATCTGTTGTCATGTCCATCAATGCTGTCATGTGACCTTAGCTGTTGTCATGTGGTCTGAACTGTTGTCAGTTGCCTGAGCTGTTGTTATGTGACCATTAACGTTGTCATATGACCTTAGCTGTTGTCATTTGACTTTAAATTTTGTCATGTGATCTTAGTTGTTGTCATGTGACCTTAACTGTTGTCAAACAAACATATCACACACGAGTCATTCGGGACTTTTTCGGTCAAATCTATCCAAAAAGGTCCAATCATACATGTATGTCATTTTTGCCGTTATTATTCATATCTTTACGTCACGAAATTTTTTAAGTGCATTCCACGCTCCACTCTTCTGTTTCGGTCAATTACAGAAGGAGATTGGGTATTGTTATCTAAAACATGTCGGGTTTTATGTACGAACGAGAAGATATGTTTTTATGATTATATCTGTGTATGTAGGAAATAGTCTATAGGGAGCAGACGAGATGTAAGAGAATAAGTACGGCCGTGAATTGAGCGACAACAATAGAATATGTAGCTTTTGTCATTTGACAGTTCTATAAGTGCTCACATAAATGGACAACTTTCGATCCCGGCCAATAAAACTGGCTATAGTAACGCCCTGTTGACACGAACGAAACAGTCGAGATTGATTATTCATGAAATGTAAACTATGGGACGAGAACATAACACAGAGATCGTTTTAACTCCATAATGTGAAATCACCGATCGAGAGAAGCCGGGATTATATGTACGTTTACCTGTGTGCAGTTAGGTGACAAACTAATCAATCTACCTGTGCTTTTTACCCCTGTCAGTGTTATGTTTTAACGGAAGAGGACAACATTGCCGGGTAAGTCAAACTATTGCTTTATTTGTGTAATACTAGATGTCTGAGTAAATCTTAAAGGCTTTTTAAAGAAGTATTTCGGGTTATATGATAGAGTCCCATGTCATTTTCAAACTTTGATAGATATATATGAAGTATATATTTCCTTCTACTACGCATTTAAATGTTGCGCTACTGGGGGTTAGGAAATAGAACCTAGTAGTTTTAATAAATGTTACATGTACCTGGTGAAGTTTGGAAGCCTAATTTAACCTGGTAGAGTTTATATTATCCAAGTGGGGTTCGGGAACATTGCTTCTTGGAGTTCGTGTTAGCCTGGTAGGGTTCGGAAACACTAAATGACGAAGTTCATGTTTACCTAGTGGGGTTCGGAAACATTGCATGGAGGAGCTAGGAAAAAAATACTTGATAAAATTCGGAGATATCTGTAGATAGAGTTCGAATTGTTTTTTTCTTCTGATAGTTGGTACATATCAGTTATAAAGCATTAACGCAAAAACGTTGTTAAACGCAAACCAGCACATGTACAGTGGCATTTGTCAATGTGTAAAACAGACGTTTTTTTCCATTTGTACAACTCTTTCCATTTGTATATGTATCAAAAAGACGTTTACCAATTGTATTACAGATGTTGTCAATGTATACAACATACTTCATTTAATGTATACTTCTCAAAAC